CCCCAAACGGGGTGACATTGTCCCTGGCTTTCTGCGCGAACAAGCGCAGTGGCATGGCTTCGATATTCTTTTTCTGCAGGAAACGAGAACACGTCAGTCCAACATGATCCAGTCGCAAACGCATGTCCGGATCACTGCGGCAGCGCAGCAGGGAGTCGGAGGAGTAGAGATATGGCTCTTGCGAAGACATGTGAACAACAGCCGGTTGATTTTTGATGCCAAGGCCATACAGGTGGTCATTGCAGAACCACAACTCCTCATCCTTAAAGTGGCTCTGCATGGTTTTCCTTTGCTTTTAGTCAATGCCCATTCTCCGCACTCTGGGGCGCCGAAGGAGACGATCCAATCATTCTGGGATTCACTCCAAAAGCAGTTAGATCGCCTGGTTGGCTCGACATATCTTATCATGGGAATCGATGCAAACGCCCACTTCTGTGATGAGTTGCCAGGGTGCATTGGGGCTGAGGGACTAGAGTCAGCCACTAATTAATTATGCCGGAGAGTGTTTTCGTAGGATGTTGCTACATTTGGATTGCCAGCTGCCAAGTACCATGGTAGGGGTACATGAGGGGTCCACGTGGACATGGCAAAGTTCGTCCAACGGGGCGACAGCCCGCTGTGACTATATCATGATCCCACAGCACCCCGTGCCTGCGCTGCTGAGGTCATATGCTCTGGAGACGCTCGACATAGGAGGACGTGTTCCTGACCATAGACCTCTGGTCTTAGAGCTAAAGGTTCAGAGGATAAAGCAAATCACCCAACAGTCAAGAGTGTCTTTTGATCGACGTGCACTGCAGTCCGCAACCCCGCTAGATCTGGAGCAGGTTTTTGCTGATTTCCCACAACGTGCATGGTCAGAAGATATTGAGACCCATGCGACGAATCTTTCTGCGCAAATTCAGGAACGGCTGCGCAAAGCCTTTCCGCCTAAAGTGAATGATCCAAGGAAAGGCTATATATCCCAAGAGGCATGGGCGATTCGAGCATCGCGGATGAGGATAAGGCAGCAAATCCAGACTGCAAGGAACTCCCTCCACCACTCCACCCAGCAAGCTGCATGGGACAGTTGGAAACGGATGGAGCCGCTTGACGTCAGTAAGCTCCTTGCGAAGACTTGCAAATGCTTTGTTTCCTTGTGGAAGCTGAAGCTTTTAAGCTCCACTGAAGCTAAGCGCCTCAAAAAACAACTGCGATGCGATCGTACCCTTTTCCTTGAGAATCTGGCCAAGCAGATGCCAACTATGAGCCAGGCTGATTTCTTCCAGGCGCTGCGAAGTGCAGGAGTGAAAAGTGCAAAAAAGCCTGGGCCCATACAGCCGCTGCCGATGCTAGCAGAGGACGATGGTACACCCATTCTGGATCTGAACCGGATACGAGAAAAATGGAGAACATACTTTGCGGCGCAGGAGGACGGGGTTGCTACCACGCCAGAGGGGTTGATGCAGATCTGTGATGAGCTAGGAAAAAAGGGGCGACCATTGCCGCAATGGGATGATTTGCCCACTATCCTGCAGATCGAGCGCCAATTTCGTGCGACCAAAAAGGCCAAAGCTTACTTTGTAGACGGGGTACCTGGAGATGTCTTAAATAGGGCACCGTCTCTAATGGCCAGGTTGTACTACCCTCTTTTCCTAAAAGAGGTGATGATGCTTAGAGAGCCATGCGTCTTTAAGGGGGGCACGCTTGTCCCTGCTTTCAAGAGAGGAAACCCGGCATGTTGTAGCAGCTATAGGAGTCTTTTTGTCAGCTCGCCTGCAAGCAAAGCATTACATGCGGTCTACCGCAAAGAGCTCATAGCTGACTTTGCTCAACGACGCCTTCCTATACAATTGGGGGGCATACCAGGATTCTCAATTACCCAGGCGGCGCATGCTGTGCGTCTGTTCCACCACACAGCTGCAATCAAAGGCCGCAGCTCAGGAATCCTTTTCGTCGATGTAAGCAATGCGTTTTACCGGTTGCTCAGAAGACATGTGATCTCCTCTCAAGTTGATGACCGAGCTTTTGAGACGATCTTTGCAGAGATGGGATTGCCAGAGCATGAATATGGTGATTTCCTTGCTTTGATAGAACCAGAGCCAGCAATTGAGGCCTCTGAGGTGTCACCTTACGTCAAAGAGCTTTTTCGAGCATTTTATGAGGCCACGTGGTTCCAGATCCGAGACCATGATGTCTTGACGCGCACGCGTCGAGGATCGAGACCGGGTGATACTTTTGCTGATATGGCATTTGGGTACGCCCTGCATCGGGTTTTGGCCCCAGTCTTTGCTGCCTTGGAACAAGAATTCCCTGACATTGCCATACAGGCAAGTGTAGATGTCCACCCGTATAGTGTCACCGAAGAGGTTGTGAGCTTGGGCGTTTTGGCGCCTATTTGGGCGGACGATCTTGCGGTTTCTTTTGCCGCAGATTCTGTTGAAGATGTGATTTACAGAGCTAAACGGATCGCTGGAACTATTTTTGACCGACTAACGCTTGCGGGATTAACACCCAATCTTGCAAAATGCAAGACAGAATTGATGCTTACTTGCAGAGGTAAACGCTCTCTGGAAGCCAGGAGACAATTGTCTCACCAGGGGCATGAAATTCAAACATCCTCGAGACTTGTCCTGGATAAGCTGCGACTTACTGGAAGCTATAAGCATCTGGGGACATGGGTTGAACAAAAGCAGGGCATCCGAAAGGATGTGTCTACAAAGTTTGCTGCAGCCCATGAAGTGATGACGCGCTACCGAAGTCAAATTTTTCGAAACCGACAGCTGTCTCTAGACAAAAAGAGACAATTTTTCGACTCGTTTTCTCAACAATGTCCTTCAACATGGCTTTGTGGCAATCCCCCACGAAAAGGCAGGATCGACAACTGGAAACAGGGTTTTCGAAACTTTTCAAACGTTTTGCCATCATGCATTTCGGACAAGACGCCATCCCTTGGTCAAACGAACGTGTTCTCCACGAAACGGGGCTACATAGCCCAGACACTCTACTGTCTGTCGCACGTCTACGGTATGTCAACCATTTGATGAGAAACGGCCAGCTACATGTCTGGGCTTTGATACGAAGTGAGCAGATATGGTGGCAGCGAGTTGAGGAAGATATAGCATGGCTTCAGCAGTTTTGTCCCGAAGCTGATGTGCCATCACCAAAGCTTGACTGGCAGGCATGGAAAAGCTTCATGGAACAGCCGGCCTCTAAATGGAAGGCCCTGCTGAAGAGAGCTTCGGCCCGAAGCAAAGCTTATTTTCAAAGACGTTTTGCCTGGGAGGAGTGGCATGCCAAGATTTTCCATGACATACTAGAGGCTGGATTGGGCTGTTCCACAACCCCTGTTTCTAAAGCTTCTCATTACTGCCTGCAATGTGAAAGGACTTTTATCAGTGCATCAGCCTGTGCTGTACATTCGTTCAAGAGACACAATAGGGCAGCCAGGGCGCGCGATTTCGTTACTGGTGAAGTCTGTGAAGCATGCCTCAAGGTGTTTTCTTGCCACGTTGACTTGCTCAACCACGTGAACAGGCAGACCGCGTGTTTCCGACTTTACGAAGGGCGCGGGCAGCAGGTCGAGAGAGAGCCGGGTGTCAACAGCAAGCAAGCGAACAAGGGACGGTCTGAATTAGCTGATCCATATATGCAAGCTGAGGGACCTAGACCAGTCTGGGAAGAGCTCTACGGGGCGCGTACTGTGCTTGCTGAACAGAAGATAGCGCTACACCGTTCGTGGGGAACAGCTGTTCAAGGGCTGGAGCAATCGGATGACATCCTAGAAGCCCTCCGACTGGCAACTAAGGTCACCTTTCTCTACCATGAGGAGATATTGCAGTGCTTCGACGACTGGAGCCAAAACTGGCTCGGTCTCCACGAGGAGGCGCCCCTAACCATGATGTCGGTATTCCAGCTGTTCAAGATCAGTGCCTGCGGAGAGTGGTTTCTTGAAGGCAGATACGCTGACCAACATGAGCATGATAGGGCAATGGCTTTCTTCTGGAAGCAGTCGCAGGACATGAGAGAGCTTCGGTACGAGCATCCAGAGAGAGTCCGCTACAGGCCCCGAATGGTGGCTCACCTATTCTCAGGGGCTAGGCGCAACTTAGACGTACAGGAACACCTGGAACAGAGAAGTTTCATGGCTGTTTCAATCGATATTATTTTTGACGCCAGGTGGGGCGACTTAAGCCGTGAGGAGACCTTTAATCTCTTTGCCGAAGCGCTCCGTGCAGGCTACCTCGTGGCGTGGATCGCTGGCCCGCCGTGCGAGACATGGTCCATCGCACGCTACAATGTGCTCCCTGGAGGCCCCAGACCGGTCCGCCGACGGGGATCCCCGTGGGGGAATTTCGACCTCACATTGAAAGAGCACCAACAGGTGGCGATTGGGAGCCTGCTGCTTGGCATCACGATCAGGCTCATGTGGATCACGATTCTCGCTGGTGCCACTTCTGTCCTTGAACACCCAAGCGATTTGAGCCTAGATGTCAACCGTCCAAGCATATGGCGACTTGAGATCATTCGCTACCTTCTGCGTTTTCCACAGTGTGACTTGGTAGAGATATTGCAGGGCCATTTTGGAGGTGCTACTCCTAAGCCAACTACTCTTTTCATTATCAACGGTGCTGTCGATAATGCTGGGCTTCTCAAATCCCTGCAGACAACACCTCTCCCAAAGACTTGCGCCTTCGGTCGCGGTGAGGACGGCAGTTGGAAAACTGCAGCCCTTAAGGAATATCCGCCTGGCCTGTGCAAGGCTCTATGCTGTATAGTTGAAGCAGGCCAGACGAATGGTCCACAGGAGGAGGACGCTGAAATTCCGGCTGTCTTCCTCGAAACCATTCGCGAGCTGACCAGAGATTTCAATTTTCTGGCCGAGCGAGGACCTGACTTCCACGCTCCTACTGCATGAATTCATAATTAGATGCCTGGTCGCGGACGACAGTCTAAGGCAAGCAGAAAAAAAAAAAAGAGCAAGGACGCTACTCCAATGAACTGCTCGTACTCCAAGGCACTGGAGGCCCAGTGCAAAGCCGTTCGCCCAGATTTCTTGTCTGCAAAGTCCACCAAAGCCTGACGCACACATTGCTCGCCCAAAGCAGAGAAACAACCGCGCGCTGAGCTGCACCTTTTTCCCAGCTGTTCCAAGGAAAGAAGGGGATGACCTAGTGCAGTGCTCTTCTGGTCACGGCATGGTCGCGCGACTTCCTAAACGAACTCGGATCTCCCTCGATCAGCTTTCTGAGCCAAGTCACTCGTGCGGAGGGCAAATGGTTTGGTTGAAAGTTTGCATCGAAAGTTTGCAGCAAGTGATACATGACTCAGCTCAGTGAGGGTGCTCCAGCATCAATCACATAGTAGCCAAAGCTATCTGCATTCAGAAGGGCTTTGGCAGGATCTTGTTTGGCCAAAGCCTGGGAAGAGAAAAGATAAGCACTGAAAGCGTATTCTTAGCCACCCTTTGTGTCCTTTGGCCATGAAAGCTTTCCAGAACAGCATTTGTCCGGCCTTGCAGTTGGACTTCCCATAGGCCATCTCACAGTCACTCGGGGAGAAGGTCGTGTCAGCGATTGAAAAGAGGGCGGCGTCTCCATCTTGGGCAAAGCGAAGAACCGTCATGGAGTACATGAGCCGATGATCTAAGACCTCAGTGCAGTGTTCCAAGGCAGATAAAAAAAGGCATGCTACAAAAATCCATAGAATTGTTTCCATGGAGACAAACCACGCGGTATGGACCTAAACTTGCCCTTTCCTAGCTTTAAAGGGTTCTTCAAGAAGTGGTTAGAAGATGTGGGCTCTTGGCAGGTGCCAAGTGCACCAAGTCGCATCAAACCTCTGAACCATCCGAGAGGCATCGAAGGAGAAAGGCTGACGACACACCAAAGATGCTTTCGGATGAGGAGTGCCATAGAGAATGTTGAAAGTCATCCTTTGCGTATCCAAATCTTTGAAACATCCATAGGGCTTCTCCTTGCTTGCGATATGCCCACCATAATTCAACTCGAAGATGTCGCCGGCTTCCAGGCCTGCAGTTCAGGGCAGTGGCAGTACGTACTGAAGCAGTGAGCTACAGAACAAAGAAGTGTTCTCTCATGGAGGATGATGAAAAAGGGAAAACCACGCAGATTAGGACTTTGGTTTGAGATTTCAACAAGATCTGACCAAGTTGCACTGGGAGACCTTCACCACGTGAACCATTTGGTCTGGACACTTCGTGGCATTGGGCTTCAAGATTTCGAACGGCATGGCCAGTTCGCAACCTGAAGAGCGGGCAGGGTGCGCAGCAACACTTCTTCAGCTTTTCAGACCTTTCTTCCTTTTCTGTTTCTTTGTTTCTAATAGCAATGGCCTCCAACCTACTAGCGATGGCCTCCACCCTAGTGGCGATGATTCTCTTCTTTATTCCTCTTTCTGCTTTCCTTAAGACATGCACATTCTGAAATCGATCCAAGTGTCCGTGCCCTGGGCGACGGATCGCGTATTTGTCAGGGCAGGTACCGTTTGAGGCGACCTTCGTGGGGAGTGTGGCGCACAGCATTTTCGCCGACTCCGAAGGACTTCCGGGGCCGGTGTTGAAATAGACACCTGCGATGGTCAGAATTCCAAAGTTGAACTGCCATGTCGACTCGTTATAGGGGCTACCAGGGGCTCCTGGACTTACCTAGTAGTAACAAGAAGCTGACCATGAATTGTCCACCTTGGAAGGGCCCAACGTCGATGTGGTAGCAACCATTCGGAAAATCTTCGGTAGATTCCTCCTGGAAAGCTTGGGGAAAGCGTGGCTGTGCGGTCTGTGCAATGTCCCAAAGCTTCACACGAAGCAATGCAAGCAAAAAAAGCTGTGTGCAGTCCTTGATGAAATCCACCCCCAACATCAACGCAGCTTGACGGCAGTCTTCGACCGTCTTTAAATTGGCCATGTTGGCTGGGCACTCGGAGTGCTTGTACATGCCCACCGCAAAGGGCTGCCTGCAACTCTCACAACCTAGCTGGACCTAGCCCCTTCCAAGTTTTATCACACATTCTTTCGGGTGTAATCATGTAAGAGTCCCTAAAGGGATCCGAATTTTTGGATGGAATTCTGAATTGCAGTCCAAGCCCAAAGATACAGGGCTTGTTGCAGTTGTAGTGCTACGGGGATGGAGGCAGCAGCCTCCAGAAAACACTAATTTTCTAGGCCTGGCTCACTGGCGCAACGACGAGGCGATTTCTATCATCCGAAAATGCACACCGCACCACAACTGGAGCCTTGCGTGCTTCACGTGCCCTGTTTCCTGTGGGACTGGGGTCGAGAATCAACCTTCCGCACACAGGCACAAGCTGTCCTCCGGATTTCGAGAGCGCCTTGACCTAGATACCGGTCTTTCATTATGTCACTGCTTCATTGAAGAGAGAGAAGTGGTTGAAGTGCATCATTCTGAAAGTCTTTTGACAGTGAGGTCTTCGGTGTGCCTGGTCCAATTGGAAAGTCGGAGGATCTCTCTGCCTGGCACGTTGCAGCTGAGGCCTCCCACACTGAAGCGAGGCTTCAACGACCCGCTGCAGGCGGAGCCTGAGAAAGTCAACTCTACTCCAAACGGTTCGATGAAGTAAGGGCATCGCTAGTAGGAACAAGGGCACTAGTAGCAAGGATGCTACTAGTAGCAAGGTGCCTTACTAGTAGCTAGAAGGCTAGAAGCCACTAGTAGCAAAGGGCATTACTTGTGTTCCTCGCATGATTTGCCACGTGGCCGTTCAAGTTGATCAAGCCATCCACGCTCAGCCACAGGTAGTGAGAGCGCGCACACATGTAAACGTCGTCGGAGTACGCGAACTCATGGTGTGTCGACTCGTGGACCTCTAGCCGAGAACGAAAGCACAGGAAGCAAACGAAGTAGATAGAAGCCAAAGCCTTTGGGCCCCTTTAGTAAGGACCCCATTCTTAAAGAGGCCTTTACATTCTTTCTCATTTTCTTTTTGATCTCTTTAGTACCCTATAAACTATAAACCAAACGTGTTCCGAATGAAGCTGGCTGAGATTCCATGGTTTGCACGGCATCTGGCAACAATCCCAGCTTTTCAGCATAGACGGTCAACGGGCAAACCTCAGCTCCAAGTGTTCTCGGACTCTTCAACGCAACACACGGGTCTGTCCAGGACGGTCTGTCATTCCAAGCAGCGTAGACCACGTATTGTCCTTTCTGATTCTTCCGGAAGGTGTCCACCAAGTCCGGAACACCATTGCTGCCCGAGGGAAAGACAAACGCAAAGGTGTTCTCATCACACTCACTGGTGTTGTAGATGAACCTGGATTGACAATGGTTTGTCTGTGTCGGCTTGGAACACACAACATATCAGTGTCAAATGAAGGAACTGTTGAAACGCAAAACTTTTCTCAACGGCATAAGTGTCTTCGTTGTCTGTGAAAAAGGAGCACCCAAAGACATCTTAAAACGAAACAAGAAGTTGCGACTCGAATGAAACACATCTTCTCCGTCTCGGTGCACACCCGCTTTGTTTCTCCGGGTGGCTCCGCGGAGTCCATGACGTGCACTGCGGAGTTTAAGACGCGAAGCAACTCACGGCGGGTGTCCTGGAAAGCCAGATTCTTCGAGCTGCAGAAGCTACTAGGAACAAGTGCATCGCTACTAGTAACAAGTGCCTTACTAGTAGTAACAAGAAGCTATTAGAAACAAGTGCCACGCTAGTAGTAACAAGTGCCTTACTAGAGAACAAGAAGCTACTAGGAACAAGTGCCTTACTAGTAGTAACAAGAAGCTACTAGGAACAAGTGCCTTACTAGTAGTAACAAGAATTAGTATATTGTTTCTACTAGCAAACATTGTTCCTAGTAGTAAGGCACTTGTTACTAGTAGCTTCCTACCCCCCTCCTAGTAGATTCCTGTGTGCCAGATTCTTCGAGCTGAAGTGTCCACAAAGACCAAGTTCCTTTGTTCCTAGTAGCGTGGCACTTGTTACTAGTAGCGACGCCAGGAGCCCCGTTCGTAGCGTTCTTGTTACTACTAGTAAGGCACTTGTTACTAGAAGCGATGCCCTTGTTACTGTAAACTCGAAAGGTCGCGGCTTATTTTCACACTCAAAGAACCCTTGTGCCTATATGGCGTCGTGAGCAACAGCAGCAGGGTCAACTGGGAGTGGTTTATTCACGCGCCCAAACTATACTGTTGACCCTGCTGCTTTTAGAGCTTTCAAATTGGACCGCCAGCTTCCTTTGGTCAAGAGTTTTGTAAGACCATCCGCTAGCTGGCAGCCCGTGGGGATCCATTTCAAGGACCTTCCAAAAGCCACTCGGTCTCTTGGACTCCAAGCGGCAAACTCCTGCTGTACCATCTGCCTCAATGTCGCCAGGTCAGCCAGCAAGCGCTTCTCCGATGGTGCACGTGGGCCTCCAGCGCGATGTACCGAGTCGTACAGACTCTTGCAGTCCGTCATCGACAGCAGCGGCAACTCGCCCGGGCACCCAGCCGGAAAGCACCCTCTGAGGAAATCTCGAAATTTAAGTCCGGCTTTCCATCCATCCAAGGCTGCCATTGTTTCCGAGGCAAAGGTGCTCCTACATACCCTCTGGCATGTATGTGACTTCCATGCTGCCACGATCCCGGTCCCTGTTTCTCCCAACAGAGTGTTCCTGTGTGTGATCACCACCACATAGCCCAGCCGTGAATAGATGCCGGTGTCGTTGGTCTCGGTGTAGTCCACATGGTCGTACTCGTTGGTCACGTTGGCCCATGCTGCATCGTGGTAGACGATGACCACCAAGTCCTGCCAACCTCCTAACTTGCGGTAGGCAAGCTTCTCGTCCTTCTCCCTCTGTGCCATGCGAACCACATGGTTGGTCGCCTTGATGTCATCATATGTTGGTGACTTCTGTTTTCTCTGGGCCATTGGGGCCCCCACTTGGATGTCTGGTCTGGTCAGGGATGCCAGGCGTGAAAGTGCGCCGACCGTCGATTGATTGTTCATCTTGGTCGCCTCGTCCGCCTGGTCCTCGAGCTGCGCTCCTTTTGGGATGTCCACGGTCTGTAGACAGTTGTTCACAAAGTTCTCCTGGCTCAAAGTGACCTGCTGGTTGT